AGCCAATTTAGTCTAGCCGATCCCCATCCTCGCTGGGCCATGGGTTCTTAGCCCCGCCAGCCGGGTCCAATAATTCCGCGCCGATGTATGAAAGGCAGCGCAGACCTGCGACAATTTATGCTTTTGTCGATTTTCTTCCTCGAATCCTTGGCCTCCAGGATGCCGGCCAGCACCTCCTCGACCTTCAGCACCTCCGCGCTGTTGGTCTTGGATTCCGCGTCCTCCGCTTCGGGCCCGCAGACGTCGACGAAGGCGACGCCGGCGCAGGGCTGAGGCCAAAGGAAGCCCAGCGGAGGGGGGCGCTCGGCGTCGCCGACGCCAGTGGTCAGCCGGCCGTCGTAGAAATGCCTGGCGCTGAAGGCTGCGATCTGCGAGTGCATCCGGAACTGCGTATCCAGGAAGAAGGGCTCCACGCCTTCTGCAGCGCCAGAGGGCGGCCACATACACCGCTTCGGAATCGTGCCCTGGGATCTCGAGGGGCGGTGGATATGGATATGGATATGGATATGAATCTCGAGGGGCAGATGTCCGCACCCACCGTTCCCCGAGTCCCTGGGACACAACCCCGCGGCAGATATGAGCATATTCTGGCGGCGGACCTTCGTCGACGAGGCGCTGGAAGAGCGACAGCGAGAGGCCCCTGGCCTTTGCCTCCTGCGAGCTCACGCTGGGCGGCAGCTGGCAGTGGTCGCCCACCAGCACCAGCCGAGGCGCGCCCCGAAGCGCAATGGGCACCGCCGCGGAGGGCTCGGTGGCCTGCGCCGCCTCGTCTATGAGGATCGCCTGGAACCGGAGGGCGTAGAGGAGGTCGCTGCCAGCGGCGACGGTGGTGGTGCAGACGACGTGGGCGTCCCTCAGGACGGCCTGCCTCGCCGCGTGGTCCTGGGCGCGCCCCCAGCCGCCCTGCGGCTGCGCGGCGGCGCCGCCCGCGCCCTCGCCCTCGCCCTCGCTGGCGGGGCCCGCCTCGCCGCCGCGCTCCGCGGGGGCGCCCGCCTCCCGCAGCTGCCGCGCCCGGGCGTCGAGCGTGACGCCCTCCAGCTGGGGCGTCACCTTCTGCAGCCGCCCCACCCGCACCACCGTCAGCCCGGCGGCCACGGCGCCCTCCGCGATGTTGTCCACGGCGATGTTGCTGTCGGAGGTGGCCAGCAGCGGCCGCAGCCCGAGGTCCACCGCCCAGTGCCGCAGCAGGCTCACGGACACGTGCGTCTTGCCCGTCCCGGGCGGGCCCTGCACCAGCGACAACCGCCGGGTGAGCCCTGCGGACACCGCCTCGCGCTGCGAATGGTTCAGGCTTGGAGACGGCCGGGGGGCCCCGAGCCGGATGGGCCCCGATAGGATCTGTCAAGATGAAGGGACAACGGCAACGCCGCTCCAAGTCGGTCCCCGGATCCCTCCCCGGGTCCATCTCTTGCAAATTTTCAACCCCGATCCGCTTCTGACGGTCTCGGGGCCCGAAAACGGCCCCCAGAAGCAGAAAAAGGTAAACAACGCCTCGAACCCACAATCTCGAGGAACCAGTGCGGGGAGACGTAAGACTCGGGTTCGGGGAACTCGGGTTTGCCTGACGGGGCCGTCGGGAAAATGACGAAACCCTAATCGAAATTCGACGCGAGTCCCCGCTGCAAGCATCCCACGAAAACTGGGCCGTCAAAATTCAGGACGGGGACGGGCCAGCAAGCTTTGGCAAACCCGAGTTCCGGCGATCTCGAGCTTTACGTTTTCCCGAATCCCGTCTCGATGAATATCTATTTTTCTCCAGGTGAGCGTTTCTTTTATTCGGCGTTTCGACATTGAGCGGAAAGGGAAGAGGGGGGGGGGGGTCTGGCTCCCGACCTCTGCGTACTGTGACTTGTTTGCGACAGTGCGCCCTATGAATGAGGGGAGACTCCACCCGCTCGAAACAGGCGCCCCCAAACAGCCAAGATCGACTCCATCGGGGGGAGGAGGGGTTTTGGGGCCCGCGCCGATCGGCAAAAAAAAAACTAAAACAGCGATCTCCAGCCCTGTTTGCCCCCGGAGACTGGGGAGGAACGTATGAAAACGGCATATGCGCGCATTCGCGGCCTGCCGGGCCCGCCACCCCGCGAGCTGGGGGGGACGGGAGCCGGCCCACCTCGGCTGTCGAGGATCGAGGTGCTGGGGCCTCCGTGCTGGGCCTCCCGAAGAGCCCAGCGCAGCGCAACACAAGGAAGGTCCGAAGGCGAGCAGCTGACGCTTATTAGGTCGAAGCCGCAGCTCGAGCACAGACCGAGCGCTCAAAACTGAACCTGGGCCTCCTCGCCGCACACGGATGGAGTCTTTCCCGGGGGAATGAAGCATGGCACAAACATAAAAACTCGGAGGTCCGCGCGGATTTCTTGGATCCGCGCTGGACCCCCCTCCCTGGCGCGCGGAGGGCGCGCCAGGGGCGGCGCCGGAGGCGCCGCCAGGGGGCCCCAGCGCCGATCCGAGAAACCTGCGCGGACCTCCGAGTTATCATGTTTGTGCTATTGTCCGTTCCCCTGCAGCCGTCGTGCTGCCCTGAGGAACGGCACGCATGATGCGGAACGAAGGGGCTCTTCTGGCCAGGGCGGGCCGTGGCCACAGACAGGGAACGGCCCGAAAACCCGAGCCCCTCCTCAGCCGGAAGCGGTCCTCATCTCCGCGCCCACGACACGCGCCCCGCGACAAGAGCCAGAGGTCACCACAGCCCCCCAGCCGGCTCCAAGTTCAGGCCGCCGTGGCAGAGCGAGTCGCCCCGCAGGCTGGCGCGGAGGTCCTCGAGGGCGTCGCGGGCCTCGGGGTCCAGCGGGGGCTCCTCTCGGCGACTCCGAAGGGCGCGCTCTGCAGGGGCTGCGGTCTCCAGCCCGCACCCCAGGGCGGCGGGCGAGGCCCTCGACAGAGCTCTCCGCCGCGCCCCGGGGAGGCCCGACGAGGGCAACGCGGTGCCACCCCAAGGCCCCCACGACGCAGGTCGCAAACCACGCCCCGGCGTGATGAACCACGCCCTATCCCCGACCCCGGACGTCGTGACCTCTTGCAGGCCTCGAGCAGGGGATCGACTACATCATTGGCTTACCCCAGACTTGAGTTTCCGTCGAATGTGCGAGCGCTATGTAGAATGTTCAGTAGATCTACGGAGCATTCTACGTGTTGTTCGAAGAGTCGACAGAGGAATCCATTCTGGGGTAAATCAATTCTGTAGCCGATCGCCGATGACATGAGCCTCGGAAATCTCGACCCGTTCCCCAGGACCGTTTTTTTTTATCTCGAATCGTTTTTTTGTGACGGTCCCGAGGGCCAGCATGAGACGCCAGAGGCAGAAAACAACGAACAACCTTGTGTCGTGACATTTTTTTTTGGCGTGACCCAAGGGAGGCTTGAGGAGGATGAGGAGGAACAGGAGGAAGGAGGAGGAGGAGGAGGAGGAGGAGGAGAGGAGGAGGATGAGGAGGAGGAGGAGGAGGAGGCGGCTCCTCCTCGTCCTTCCTCCTCCTCCTCCTCCTCCTCCTCCTCCTCCTCCTCCTCTGGGTTGGTAGTCGCCGATCCTGCGTTTAGGGCTGCTCCAGCCTTCGGGCCGAAGTCATTCACCATACACATTGATTTCAGGCCTCGGCTTGTCCACGAAGATGGCGGATATCAGTACAGTAGGAGCTCGACCACAAGAAACCTTCCACAAGAAAGCTAACCATGGAATCCCAGGATGTCCACTGACTTTTGGTGTGGGAGCGTCATGCTTTCCATAGCGAAACCGTCGAGCCCCAAGAAACCCAGGGCACCCTGGAGGCAAGCTGGGTGCTTCTTGGCATGGGTTTCCTTGTAAGCTCGAACTGAATGTGGCCGTGGCGACAGGGAGGAAGCTGCGGCCGAAAACCCGTTGGCAAGGACGGCGCGACGACGACGACGGCGAAGGCGGGCAGCGCGCGCTGCCCTTTTACCCCAGGCCGCCTCGCGCACCGAGGTGCTGCGGGTGGCGAGTCTCCTCCTCACGCCCCCCAGAGATAGGAGCGGGCTGAGCAGAGGACAGGTGACAAGTCCCCATTCGCCCTGGTCAGCGTCGGGCCTGCCCCACGCGTTGCCGCTTCCAGCGGTGAGTTTCCCCGCCGCGCCTCCTTCCCTTTGCAGGCGTGCGGCGTCCTGATTCCCAACCGTCCTGTGGTGTTGGGTCCTCGTTTTGGAGAGACATTCCCCTCGTCTCCGTTTCCTCGTCTCCTCCTCCCGCTTCTCCCTCCCCCCGCCACTCCCCTCACGTTGACACACCGCTCCCACCTTCCATGCCGCACGAGGTATGCCGCCACCCCATCACTTTGGCACCCCCCTCACACGCTTCGTGGCCCCATCAAGGGGGGCTCCACCGAAGGCCCCAGTGGCTGCGTTCGCATGCCGCCCCCCCCACCACTGTGGCACACCCCCTCACACGTTGCGTGGCCCCATAGGGACTCCGCCCAAGGCCCCACTGGCTGCGCCCGCATGTCTTCCCCCGCTTCTCCTGGCGCCTGTCCGCCGCAACGGGCTATATCCGCATCCGCTGCGGGCGGCCCCAGCGGGCGGCGCCCGCATGGCGGCCCCGCCCCATTTCGGCGCTCCCTTCACGCGCTTCGTGGCCCATAGGGGTCTCCTCCGAAGGCGGTTCTCGCAACGGCGGTGCTCACAACTGCATATGGCTGGGTCCTCCGCCATGGTATTTCCCAACCCTCCTGTCTTGGGTACTCGTTTTGAATAGAGCAGTGTGGTCGCCCTGTCATCCTTCTCCTCCCCTCTCCTCCCTTCCTCCTCTCCTGTTTCCTGTGTTTCCCTCTCCTCTTCTCTCGTGCTGTCGGGCTGCGCTCTGCGAAACTGTCGCCACTTTCGTGGGCTCCTGGGAGGCCCAGCGGAGGTACGTCCCACGCGGACCACCTCGAGACATCGCGGCGCCCTGGGGGGAGGGGCGGGGGCTGCGATCTGTGCAACTGTCGCTACTTTCGTGGGCTCCTGGGAGGCCCAGCGGAGGTACGTCCCACGCGGACCACCTCGAGACCTCG